CCTTCTGTTGCTTTGAAGGTTGGTAAATATCTTATTTGAGTGGATACAGACTGTCTGGAAATGTATCTATTCACAAACAGGCACAAACATCCACAAACTGCTTGGAAGTTCATGGAAAGTTTGTGTCAGTTGACCTGCCACAAACTCCAGTTCACGAACTATGAAGCAGCCAAAATTTGTCATGAACTTTAGTTCATAAGCCAGTTTATGCCCATCTTTACCTGCCACCACAGTGTTCAGCTTTAAGATGTAGCCCTTTAGTTTCCTAGGAAGATTACTTATTTGCTGATAATCAAGTCAGCTAGCAGACTGGATTCTGCTATTAAATTCCAGGGTCCAATTAACCCCTAGAAAACCTTTAATAACAATTATTTTTTAAATAATGATTAGGCAGCAAGAAGAGTATTAGAGAGACCAAGCAATCTTTCTAAAATAATTCTGAAAGACTTGTCTAGGCAACTTTAAAAGAGAACTATACGTGCAGGTATAATTACAATGAAAGATATTGTTTTAAAAATGTAATTAAACACTGTAAAATCTATAATAGTTTAATAAAAATGTTTTAAGGTTGAAATCAGGGATATTTGATAACTCACTAGGATGGTGTGTGTTCTCCTTGCCAGTCATAATCAGGGAACTCACAGACAATAATACCATCATAGTACCAGCCACAAACCCCTATTAAGATCGTAATTCTATTCCCTAAATTCTAAGTCTTGTCTAAAATTCTCTTCCGTCTGTGCTTTTTGTTAAAAACTTTCACTTATTCATTACTAAAAAGCAAAATTTTGCTACTCCCAGAGTTACCGACTTCTTGGTATCTTCCAACAAATATTTCAGCAGCACAGTATCTGCAAATCTCAAATAGTTGTCCAAGGGTTTAAATTGGGCAAGTAAAGGAAAAATTAGCTAGTGTCTCTCTCTGGAATAGAGTTTACAATGTAAAGAAATGTGTGTGATTGTTTCAACTTCTTTATCTGCACATAGACAACATCTTTGATGGATGGGCCAACGGAGATACCTTCCTTGCAGTAAGTATAATCAGGGAACTGAGCTTCACTGAACGGTTTGGATGCAGATTTATCCATTTGCACTGTTACTGACTGCTTTCTCACAGCTGCCACCCCTTCCCACCCATCTGATGCTGCTGCCCCCCTTATAGCCCCCCTTATAACTGTTTAAAAGGCACATTATCAATAAGATTTGTGAGTTCAGACTTATTACTTAGGTGCCTCTGTGCACATCTGCAAACTGCCTATGAACGTAGCTAATATTTTAGTTAGAAGGGGTAACTCTGCTTAGGAGTGCACTGTTAGTAACCTTTTGTTCAAGATCCCTTAGTTCAATGAAAAAGTATTGTAAACAGCAACTAATCTACAAAGATTATGGGTTTTAATATAACAATAAAATTTGAAGAACACCCAGATTCTGCCATGACTTGAAGGAATTTTAGACAAACTGAAACCACAAGTGACAAGTGATACTGACATTTTGAAGGAAGAAGCAACGTTAGGAATGGCCAGAATCAAATCAGAAAACCAAACACCTGTAAAAGGTCAAACAAACCATGGGCTTCAAGATCAAATGAATGAGTCCTAGAAAACAGAACCCTCCATCAGAGGGCACAAACATATATGTTTTTATTATGTTTTATTTTTTAAGCCGCCTCAGGAAGGTTCCCTAGAGAGCTGACATAAAAAATTTCTGAATGAATAAAGCAACACAATGAGAAAATCTACTTTCATCAGCAGCTGGAGACCATACTTTCATCAGCAGCTGGCCACCCTGGACAGAGAGAGAGAGAGAGAGAGAGAGAGAGAGAGAGAGAGAGAGAGAGAATGGCCACTGGCATTGCAAGCTTAAAAGGACTGATCTCAAAGCACAGAGTCACAAATCCAAGTAAGTGGGAGGGGGTTTGCAAGCACTGTGCAAGAAAATGGGAAGGGAACACAAAGGGGAGGGAAACCCTCTGGAAACTGACATGACTGGTTTGAAACTGACAAGAGTGTTTCCAAGGCTGGAGAATTCTGCCCCTTCTGTTGCTTTGAAGGTTGGTAAATATCTTATTTGAGTGGATACAGACTGTCTGGAAATGTATCTATTCACAAACAGGCACAAACATCCACAAACTGCTTGGAAGTTCATGGAAAGTTTGTGTCAGTTGACCTGCCACAAACTCCAGTTCACGAACTATGAAGCAGCCAAAATTTGTCATGAACTTTAGTTCATAAACTGGTTTATGCCCATCTTTACCTGCCACCACAGTGTTCAGCTTTAAGATGTAGCCCTTTAGTTTCCTAGGAAGATTACTTATTTGCTGATAATCCAGTCAGCTAGCAGACTGGATAACATAAAGGAAGCAGCTAAGATCTATCTTACTGGAGTATTTGTTATTGTGCCCCACTATATACATTCTGGAATACCACATCAGAACTATAGCCTGAATGCTATTCTGAAAGCTATATATCAAGTGTGTTTTCTTATATGTGGTGTTGTTAAAGTTATGCATACCCTTTTCCTTGCTCCACAAGGAAATAAGACTGTTCTTAGGAAAATCAAAGTGGGGAGACACATGTAGCACACCCTCCATTTCCTAACAATCTAGGAAAGGAAGTGTGTGCCCCCCCCCCACTTTGAGCATTTGTCAGAACAGTCCA